CCATAGAAAACTCGTTACCGAAAATCGCGAGATGATTCAGGAGGAAATCGAAAACTTTGCTGAAAATCCCAAATGTTTTTTATTAGCGTAAAAATTATTAAATAAAAAATATATCAAAAAAATTTACAAGAATATTTCGTTCTCCCGCCCCCCTTACACCAGGTACTGGCTACGCCCTTGTCTGTACACTATAAATATTAAAGGAAAATTAATATACGTGTGTCTTTAATAGACCAAAAGAAGCCAAATTAACAATTTTTAGAATTTTTGACTCCAGTTTTCTCGTATGTATGTTTGTACGCGCATAACTTGAAAACTAATGCATGAAAGTGAATGCAGTTTTCAACCGGTGCATTGCTAAAGGTCTGACTTAAAACATAAAATGAAAAATATTAGATAGTTACCACCTGCTTGAAAATTGCAATTTAAGTAAGTTGAAAAGATAAAGTGAATATTGCAATATGACTGCCAAAAGAAAGAGATTTAAGAAAGACTAAAGNGATAAATTGCATATTGCAATATGTGTATCAAACTGAAGATTTTTATTCTTTTTTTACTGTAGAAAATATTTTTGCCGCCGGTTTGAAAAAATTATGTTAAATAAAAAAAAATAAAAATAAAAAAGAAAAAAAAAAATAAAAATAAAAAATAAATAAAAAATAAAATAAAATAAAAAATTTAAATAAAACAAAATATTAAATAAATTGAAACAAATTTACTGCATCATTTTAATTGACACTGACTGGTTTCATTGATTTCTCTAAATTAGAACATAAATGTATACGATTCCGTTTTAAAACCGGAGCTGTAAGCGAAAACTCACCTTTTTACAAATTCCAAATTCACATTTTGCAATGGTTCTAAATAAAGTTTGGCATTTTTCGGATGCATCAAAATAGGATTCACTTGATTTCGGAATGCGCCCCATTTTTCGCCTCTGTCACAGGAAGAGATGAAATAAATTTACATGAGTTTTTAAAAACGTAATAAATAAGGTACAAAATAAATTGCACATCTGTTCTACGCACTCTGCATTTAGGCCACCCGTTTCGTTAAAGAAACCATCTTTTCGTGATTCTCTGTAGTACCTAATGGCATCTGTTCCGGGCCGACTAGGCCATTTACCTTCGGTGCGAAAGATCTTCCCGAAATCGTCTACATTAAAAAGTACGACCGTATCTGGTTGCCCAATAACACCAGCCATGCGATA